CCTCCTTCGCCCCAGTGGCGGGGATGGGGCAGGGCGCAGCGGTGACAGGTCCCCACTGTCCCCAGGGGTGGGCAGCCCCGGTGGGATGGTGCAGAGAGGAGCTGAGTGCTGCCTGCCGCCAGCAGCCGGCGGGAACATCAGTAATGAACCTTTTTTCTTTCTATTTTAATTTTTGGCGTTTCTCCGTGCGAGCTCGGAGGTCTCTGTGGCCCCTTAGCACTGGGAGCCAGACCCTGTCCTTACAGTCACCCGGTGACACCCCGGTGCTAGTGGACATCCGCGCTGGCACGGGTGAGGGCAGGCTGGGCTTCGGCAGCGCTGCACGGGAGATTTTTTTACCCCTTTTGGAGAGGCGGATGGTTTTGCGGGGAGGGTGGTCGGTGCTTCCTCGCCTGGGCGGCTGCCGGAGAGTCAGGCGTGGGCGCAGGGGGTCTCTCTCCAGGGACGGTGGGAACCCAAACCCTTTCGGGTGTCCTATCTATCGGTTCGGCTCACGTGTGTGAGTGTGCGCCCATATATGTGCGCTTCTGCACATCGTACCCCTTCCTTGCAACATATACACAGACGTATATATATAGATAGATAAAATGTGCCGGGGGGATGGGAACAGATGTTTCCAGCGGTGCCCAGTGACAGGACAAGAGGGAACGGGCACAAACGTGACCACAGGCAGTTCCATCTCCACCTGAGGAGGGCCTTCTCTGCTGTGAGGGCGGCAGAGCAGTGGCAGAGGAGCTCCAGAGGTCCCTTCCAACCCTGACCATCCCATGACTCTGTGAAAAATAATATATATATAAAAAATATATCATTATATATATTACATATATAGAGATAAAACCAATATATACAATATATATTATATATATTAGAAAAATAATAGTTATATATAAAAATAGTAGATCTTGGGTGCGTGGCTGAGGCAGAGCATCCTCTGCCACCCCTGTGGTGGCTCCCATGAGATGCCTCCAGCCTGGAGGACCAGCACACTGGAGAAGCTCAGCTCTTCTCCCCCTTCCCCAGGGCAGGGAGTAGTTTGTTTTTCCCAGATTTTTTTTTTTTTTTCCAGATTGTTTCCCAAGGTTTCGAGGTTCCCATGTTTTCCCTGAGTCTCTCAGCTATGGTTTTCAGCAGAGCTTGTTTGCTTACATTTAGTGCCTCACCTCGCTGAGTTTCGGGATGAAATTCTTAGTTTAATCAATACGGAGGCAAATAAGGCAATTTGCAGCCCTGGGTTGGAGCTGCGGCCGGTTCGGTTTGTGGCAGGGCTCGGCTGGGGACAGACACCTCCTGCCCTCGCCCCGGGACACGAGGGCTTTGGAGGCTGCGCTGGATGCGGTCCCCAGCTTCGCTCGGGGAGGGGTTCAGATGGGGCACCACCAACTGGGTGAAACCTCCTCCCGTTTAAATCATCCCTGCCCTGGGAAGGGGTTGGGCTCTGCAGCTGTTGGATCCGCTGTGGCAGCAATTAAAATGACTGTGATTGAAATAGAAGAAGTCCCTTCTGTCCCTCGGCGGCGGGTGCGGGACCAGGCGGGATACCCCGGTGATGGGCTCCGCTGCATCCGCAGGTGGAGAAGCGCCTGGAGCTGGTGAAGCAGGTCTCCCACAGCACCCACAAGAAGCTGACGGCATGTCTGCAGGGCCAGCAGGGCGTGGACGCCGACAAGCGCTCGGTGAGGCTGTGGCGGGGCTCAGAGGATGCCGGGCGGGCTGCCGGCGCCGGCGGTGGCGGGGTGGGAAACTCAGCCCCTCTCTCTTTGCAGAAGAAGCTGCCGCTGACGACACTGGCGCAGTGCTTGATGGAGGGATCAGCTGTGCTGGGTGACGACTCCCTGCTGGGGTAAGGGGGGGGTCTCCCTCGGTCCTCTGCCGCTGACGGGATGATGCCACGGCCAGGAATTGCTGCGGTTCCTTCTCTGGGCTGCCGGATAACGGGGGGTGTTTCACAGCGGTGTCGGAGGGGCTGGGATGCTCACGTGAGCTCGGTGGGCCGGGGTTTTCCTTTATTCTTCTCCTCCTTATGGTGGGCTGGGGCCCTTTAGTCGTGCAGTATACGCTGTAAACTATATCTACATCTATATCTGTATCTATATCTATATCTAGAGAGAGATATCTTAAGACAGTCCATACAATTTCAAACTATAATTGATACAATAGCCAGGGAATAAGATTTTCCTAACGCTTCTCGGGCTGCTGCCTTCCCTCCAGCCCTCTGCCAAGGAAGGGCTGTCCCACACCGCTGCCGAGACCCGCAACCCCCAGGGGCTTTGGGTGCCCATCACCGCCCCCCCACACACACACCCAGCCCCCGTGGTACCCAGCCCTGCCGCTGCCTTTGCAGGAAGATGCTGCGGCTGTGCGGGGAGGCGGAGGACAAACTGGCTCAGGAGCTCATCCACTTCGAGCTGCAGGTGGAGAGGGACGTCATCGAGCCCCTCTTCGTGCTGGCCGAGGTGAGCGGTTGGTGGGGACGTCCTCGGGTCCGGGTGTCACCCTGCCGGGGTCTCGCATCCAAAACAAGGCTGGGTTTCATCGCTTCGGCGGCAGATATGGTTCCCACCCCCTGCGAGAGACCTTCCCGCTTTGAGATGTTCGCTAATTGCTTTAATTGGCAGGCAGTATTTGCACGTTCAGCTGGGCTGGCTCTGGGGCGGTGGTCCCTACCGGGCTCCTGCTTTCCCTGCTCTTGCTCGTCTCTGCCTCTCCTGAAGGCAGAGGCGTTAACATTCTTATTTCTGACCCGTTTTTCCAAGCTCCGAACCCATACTGCTGTTGTTTGGGATATTTTCTTTCCCTTCCTTTTCTCCCCTGCTGCCAACTTTGTTTTTCAATTTTACCCAATGCTTTTTTCTTCCCTTTTACGTCTTGCAAAATGTCCCGGGCTCGGTTCTGATTTTATCTTCCCTGGGCAGAGATGGCAAGAGCTTTATCACACTGCTGGTGTTACTGGGATGGGCGAGCAGCGCCGCACCACAGCTTTCTTTTGCCAAATCCCTCGGCAAAGGGTGTCTGTGCCTGGGAGGCTTTCCATTGCCATCCCCAAAACCCCTTTTCCTGCCTTCAGCCGGCTCCCCAGTGCAGGAGGCTGTGATCCCCCAGGGATGCTCCTCTCAGGGATGCGGTGGCATCCGTTGGAGCTGGCGGGGGGTGGCACAGCCCCGGTGGGGACACGGAGGAGGGACGAGCTGTGCCATCTCCCTAATGATGTTTAAATAAGGAGCTGCATCCTTATCTGCCCAGCTTGGAGCAGCCCAGACGCCCAGCGTCGCAGTCAGGTGGGACCTACCCCCGACGCCTCTCCGGGGGTGTTTATCTCCTCCCGTTCCTCTGTGTCGCTGCAGGTGGAAATCCCGAATATCCAAAAACAGAGGAAGCACTTGGCAAAGCTCGTGCTGGACATGGACTCCTCCAGGACGCGGTAGGGAACAGCTTCAAAGCTGCTTTATAAAAAAATAAAAAATCCCAAGGGGTGGGTAGCACCAGGGAGGACACATCCCAGAGCCCCGGTACCGCGGCTCCTCCGGGACAATAAGTCTCGACCGTGTCACCGTGTGTCATGAGGTCAAACTCTGCAACGAGCCAAGATTTCTGCTCTCGTCTGCAGAATCCATGGATCCCTTTTCCTTGCTTGTCCTCTGCGGAAAAGAGTGTTTTTTTTCTGGCACAAACCCTTCTTTTTTCACTCTTTTCCCTATCTTGGTGGGTTCTTACCTGATGGCACAGAGCCAAGTGCTCCTGCTGCTGTAGAGTAGCACTGCAGTGGATGTGGGATGTCCTTTGGGATTGTCCCACGTCCCAGATGCTGCACTGGGACATGGTGGGCTGCGCCTTGGGCTTTCCCTGGGGCTGTTTGCAACCATTTAGGGGTGGCCAAACCCTACACAATGTCACAGCATGCCCCAGGGAGAGGTCTGGGAGGTGTCTGAAGTCCCCAAAGTCATGTCCAGGCTCTCCCATCGCCTGCCTCTCTCCTCCCACCTGGATGGAGCTCGTTCTGCTGAAAGTAATTGCTTAATTAAAGCCCAGTGTGCACAGTTTTGGGGACTGGAGATATTTGGGGTTGGGAGCGGATGCTGCATCCCAGCCTGGGTTAGGACCATCTCCGTGGCGCTCAGCCTTGGGGACAGCGGTGGCTTTGGCCAAGGGGGTTCCCTGGGCTGCTCTCCAAATCTGCCGGGATCTGGTCACCGCTCCGCGTGAGTCCCTGTCCCCCCCTGTGACAGCTTTGCCCTCTCTCCGCAGGTGGCAGCAATCGGTGAAGTCCTCGGGTCTGACCAGCAACCTGCAGCCCTCGGGCGCCAAAGCCGACGCTCTCAGGGAGGAGATGGAGGAGGCGGCCAACAGAGTGGAGATTTGCAGGGTACCCGGGAGACCTGGGGGGATCGCTCCTTGCTGGGGTGGGGGGACCTCGGCATCCCGGGCACAGGAGAAAACCCGCAGCCTCTCCT